TCCTCCTCCTATTGGCCATTCAGCTTTTTACTACAACAACCACAGCAATACATCTTCACACAGTGTACACATATCCCACAACTGCCACGGGCAGAACTGAGCTCTGCAAAGGCAAGTTATACGCTCAGCAAAACCCATTCCTGCAGTCAATTCCTGCAGTCCTTCCTTGACAATGATCCTAGACACATGTTTTTAATGGATTCTCAGGCTGCTAACAGTTACTGTTGTTAATGACCTGTGGAGAGTTCAGATCCTGGGTAAGGGCTACCTGCAAATCTTGGTTATTACTTTTAAAGTTTGCAAAGCAAGACTGGCCTCATTCTTTGCTTCTGTTCTTTTTTTTTTTTTTTTTTTAAATGTGGGTTCTAGAGTTGAGAGAGAGAGAGAGAGAGAGAGAGAGAGAGAGAGAGAGAGAGAGAATGTCATGGTGTGTGTGTATGTATGTGTGTTGTGGTGTGTATTTTGCACATATGTGTGTGTTCATGTCTATATCATTTCTATATCACTGCTCTGACCATCACCAGGTCATCTTTCTAAAGCCAGGGAACACATGACAGTTTCCATGCTAACTCAGATTTTGCTTAGCTCCACAAGAGTGTCCATTAATCAATACCACTTAATCAGGAGCCTGCTTCAGTTGCAATAGGGTGACATGATATGCGAGGACCTGACGAGCTTCCAGACGAAGTCCCCCTTCTTGTCCCCTTGAAGCCCGTCACCACTGCCCTCTTCTTGGGCTTCCGAACTCATTTTTTGATCATCCAAGGACTTCTGAATTTGAAGTTCACCAGACAGGCTTCGCTCTGCCTCCAGTTACCAGCATTCTGTTCTTTCTGCTTGGAATGGCCTTCAAGCGCAGCCCATGGTCACTTCCCTGCCTCAGCTGACCCCAGCTGGCCCGTGATGCTCCGCACAGGTGATGCTCCTCACAGGTGATGCTCCTCCGCACAGGTGATGCTGCCCCCGGAGAGCTCCCCCTCACCTGCTGCTGTCTTTGCACAATTCCTTGTCACAACCCTTTGATGCTGCATTTCCCTCAGATTATGTAAGTCAGTCAAACTTGAAGAAAATTTGGAAAAAAGCCTTAAAGTCTTTAAAATGTGCACTAATAACCTGGTGTTCAAAGCACTTTTAATGTTTTGATAAATTCCGTTCCAGTATCTTTTTATGCCTATATTTATATACTTTTATAAGCTCTGAAAAGCAAAATAACCAAATGTCATAAAAAAGACAAGAAAATTGATAGAAAATTTTTATTGCATTTGTGTTACTAAGTGACTGATAACGTAAAAAAAACAGCTTAGAGAATTTAAAAATCAAATAGCAAGAGAATGTTTTTGGTGTCAGTTTAACAAAAAGATGTACTAGAAAATGAATATTTAAATAAATACGTTTAAGCAGTACAGATTCTGTCTTTAATTGGCATTTTATCATGTCCTAAAACTTCTTTAAACCTGCATTTTTACTCTGTAATGAATTCTGTTTCTGATTTCCATCTATTGTGGTATTTGCTGACTTTTTTGGTAATCCCATCAGACAGAACTCATTTCAGACAGGCCTATGATTTTATTTTATATCCAAGTTAACACAGTCTGACCACGAGGTAAGCATGTCATAAACTGAGTAAATGAAAGATCATTTTACTCCTTCTGAAATCACTGCTTCCTCTAACTTAGTCAACCAATAGCTGATGCTTTGTTATCCACCACTACAGTCCAGGACTACTGTCAGTATCCCCAGGTCTGGGATGCTGACCACACTACCCACAGGCCCACAGGGTTGGTGAAGGATGTTAATTCTCCAACTGTGGGGACTGCTGCTGACAGATAGCCCTGAGGAACTGACTCACCTAAAGAGAGCTGCTTTAGCTAAAGTCACCTTCTTTCTTGGGGTGACCTATAGCCGTTGACTAAATGGTCCATAGAAACCTGACCTGGTGTCCAACAGGGAACAACTCTGAAGCCCTGCTTCCCGCTTTCCTCGGCATCTCTCAAGGTTGCCATGGAGACCATATCCTACCAGAGCTCCTCCTTCTGTCATCCTGCTTCCTTTTCCTGGTTTCCTTAGATGCAAGTTCAAGTTTGCCTGCTTCCTGGGGATCCTTAGACACAGTGCCAACTTGAGGTGGCAGAATCCAGCTGTCTAGTGTGCTTCCAGACAACAGATTGTGAACTCCTTGAACAATGACGGTATTCGACACGACAGTCCCTATGGCATAGCTACCCCGTGGAAGTCCCTGGATGAGAAGGTTCTACGAATAAGAAGAAACAATCAGCAAAATTCTGATGGTTCTGACAGCGAGGTGCTGACATCGAGAACAGCAAACAGACGACTCCCAAGTTCTAAGCCTGAGAGAATGAGGCAGGGGAGGCTGCCTACAGAGGAAGTTGGCATTGTGATAGTTGGAGGGCAGAGAGTGGTACATTTGAAGTGTCACAATCTACCCAGAGGCAGTGGTTGTGGTAGAACCAGATCTTATGTAGGGAACAGTTTGGAAATGCCGGGCCATTATGGACTCAAGCAGCAGTAACACCAGGAGCTCCAAGAAAAAAGAAGGTCTCAGACTTTTTCTTTTTAAAGACGGGGTCTGGTGAAGCTCAGGCCCTGAACTCACTACACAGTTAAAGATGAACTTCTGAACCTCCTGTGTCCACCTGCTGAATGCTAGGTGTGTACTACCACACCCAGTTTATGTAATGCTGGGGATCGAACCCAGGGCCTCATTCATGCTAAGCAATCACTCACCCACTGAGCCACATTCTCAACTGATTTTTTTCTTGTAGAATTAGATGCAGAAGAGCCATCCAGTGTTGGCCCTCCAGCCTCAAAGAGCAGCATCAACTCTACTGTGATCTTCAGATGGCCAGCTTTCTTGGCGGAGGACATGCTTGCCAACTTTCTAAGATCTCTTGAGAGGTAAAAAGATGATTGATTGACTGATGTCTCTCTGTCTCTCCATCTATGTTTTATAATATACCAATAGAAAGTTTGCATGCATACTACTTTGACTAATGCCCATTTTTATTAAAATCGGACCAATACAAATACATAGTAAAGGAAAGAGGACAAAAACACATTAAAGGGAAGAAGCCAGGGCTGGAGAGAGGACTCATCTGTTGATAGCTAGGCTCACAACCAAGAGAGAAGACGTCAAATGGGCTCTGCAGAGTCAGAACGGGGGGCCGCTCCCAAGGTCAAAAGACGAAAGCTGCAATAGCGATTTCCTTCTCTATTTCTGTGTAGCTCAGGCCACATCTGGACTTCTGTTTCCACGATGCAAGTCTTCACAGAAGACACAGAAACAGTGTCTGGAGCAGGGCAAAACTTCAAGAAATAGACGTTGGTACTCAGAGAATAAGAACTATAAAATACTGGAAAGAAAGCATCCAGAGAACAAGACGAAGTAAATGAAATGCAGGTACCAGGTATTTTGAATGCAACGGATTAATTAGACAGGAATTGTCTCACAGGAAGTAAAACAGGCAAAGAAACAGAGGAAAGGGAATTACTGATTCAATTCAGGAGGCTGAATTCTGAAAGCAAAACAGACAAAATTAACCAGAGAATTATCAAAGAAATTATGCAAAAAACCTCCTTTTGCTTGAAAAAGTTTCCATGTTGAATGGGATTAATGGCTCACAATAATGAATAAAATTGGCCAATAATAAAGAACAGCATCATCATATTTCAAAGTTGTAGGGATAAAAAAAGATCACAGAGGGGAGGGGACAGGAGAGGGGAGGGGAGGGGAGGGGAGGAGACAGGAGAG